ATCACAGTTTTGTTGTAGTGTTAATGGCATTCAATAAGGAATGTCAGAGAAGATGAAAGAAAAAACAGCATTAAAGACATTGGGAAACAAATTGGCAGTGTTCGAGTTGGAGCAGAATATTGGCCGAGAAGTCAATAAGGTGGATTGCTTAGAAGATGAAGTCCTTGCAAAGAACCTGGACGATGAAGTAATGAGGATCACAAGCACAAGACCCTTTGATTGGGGTAAATATTGACGACGAAGGGGAAGATCGCCCAACATTTGTCAGCCAGATGCTCAGTCAAGAGGTTAGTAGTAAATTAATCGCTTTGTTAAAAGAGTATAAAGATTGTTTTTCTTGGGAATATGAACATATGCCTGGTTTAGATAAGAATTTGGTAGAACATAGATTACCAACTAAGCCAGATTTTAAACCTCATAAACAATCTCCTAAGAATTTTGCCCCTAATGTGCTTCCTGAAGGTAAGAAAGAGAGTGAGCTATTGTTAAAAGTAGGTTTTATTAGGACAGCTAGATACTTTGAATGGTTATCTAACATCGTACCGTGTTAAAAAAGAATGGAAAATTAAGGGTGTCTATAGATTTTAGAAACTTAAATTTAGCGACACCTAAAGATGAATATCCAATGCCTACGGTGGATTCTTTAGTAGATTCAACTGCCGGATACGTAATTTATTCCTTTATGGAATATATTTAGGATACAACCAAATCTAAATAGTTGAAGAAGATGTACACAAAACTGTCTTTAGATACCCAGGGGCTTTGGGATGCTTTGAATGGGTAGTTATGCATTTCGACCTAAAAAATATAGAGTCAACTTATCAAAGGGCAATGAACTTGATTTTTCACGACATGATAGGAAAGTTTGTTGAAGTATATGTAGATGATATAGTTGTCAAATCTATTAAAGATGAAGACCATTTTGAACAGTTAAAATGCTCATTTGAGCGAATGAGGCAATACAAACTAAAATTGAATCCATTGAAATGTGCATTTGGTGTTAAAGTAGGGAATTTCCTTAGTTTTCTAGTGCATAGAAGAGGAATTGAACTTGATAAAAATAAAGCGAATGCCATTTTAGAGGCTAAATCACCCGGTAACAAGAAGGAATTGCAAAGATTTCTAGACCAAGTAAACTTTTTAAGACGTTTTATCTCTAATTGTGTAGGGCGAACGAAAGCTTTTTCGCCTCTTTTAAAGCTGAAAAACCAGGACGAATTCATCTGGAAAGAAGAGCACCAAAAAGCTTTTGATAGCCTGAAGGCATTTATCAAGTCCGCCAATTTTAATATCACCTGTCCAAGGACGGCCAATGAAGGTGTACGTATCTGCTGACTAAGAATCGATGGCTGAAATGGTAACGCAAGAAGACCAAATTTGGTGAAGAAATGGTGATTTACTACTTGAGTAGATGGTTAACAAAATGTGAATGTAATTACTTTGCTATTGAAAAATTGTGTCTTGCTTTATATTTCACATGTACAAAACTAAGGGCTTATTTACGGCCTGTAACAGTCTATTTAGTTTCTAAAGTAAATCTAGTTAAATATATGTTTTCTCGCCCTATTTTGCACAAAATGATAGACCTTTGGACTTTAGCATTATTGAAATTTGAAATACAATACATATC